TCAATTGGCAAGAGTCAGAATGTAGTGCTATGATATTAGTAATAAAAACTAACCTTGCTTGTGTCTCTGATCATGAAAGGTTCTTGTTACACAAGGGAGGGAACCGCCATGTTTTCCTCGTTTATTTGATGGTAAAATGGTGACTCATCTAGGAAAGTAAGTACAACTTGTCATTACTTAAGTAAGGTTAACCATTTGGTTAATMAATATCCTAAAACTCACCGTTATGTATGTTTGTGCTGTGAATAAGACTGTAATTTTGTTTTTCCAGGAGAGAACCATCAGAAGAAGAGGAAGGTAACATGGATTCTTTTCAGCTGAATATTGATCACCAGTGTATCGATATAAACGTTATTGTTATTATTATCATCATTTCAACATCTTCCKCCTCACCTGTTTGGTAACATTGCTATCAATTTCCTTCTAAACTTAGATGACGAGGACGATACGTGTATGTTTATACTTCGTAACGAAGAACCAGAAGAAGCATATTTGCTTCAAGTGAAAACAGAGTAAGTTTCTARTGAAATTTTWTTAGCTTCTGTCTTAACAGTATCGCGTCTCATTAGTCGAAGCTGTAYCTTGTATCTTCTTGTAATAATCTCATTAGCGTAAGCAAAGTYTGTAGCTAATTTKCTCCTTTAATGTTTTCAGTCCTTATGGTCTCCGATCTCGAACATCGTTTGTTATAGTGGATCTTATAGAGCTACTATTGTACGYATGGCATGGTTCCAAGAGCAGTGATGATGCAAGGAAAGCAGTTAGCAATGCTGGCAAGAAGCTTATGAAATGGTGAGTATAATATGATGCAACTAGAGTTAGTAGAACAGAATTATCAACTCACWATTTGCCTGGTTGGGTGTTTTAGGTTTAACGACAAGTACCCAGATGACGCTCTAGAATACCACGAGATTGAAGAAGGAGACGAACCCGAACTCTTCTGGGACGCAATGCGAGGAGATCCTTCACACCTTTCGTTAAGAAAAGGTTTGCCAATTGCCTGGTCATGACATTGCTCATCACCATTATCATCAATACTATTATGGACTTTATCTTTGCTACTGTCACTAATCGCCATGTGATCATTGTTCAGTTGGTTATTAGTTTCGTATCAGCAGCAAAATTATTATTCTTTAATAACCATAAGATGATTTTTATTTTTTATSCAGATTCGCGCAAGCACGACTATACGTTAAGAGTCTTTCGTCTCAACAGYACAAGTGGTGAATTTACTGCCACAGAAATCCTCAACCCAACTCGTTCTTCCATGACGTCACCATACCCTATCAGCCAATCACAGCTATACACTGCTGAGCAACCAGGTAAACCATCTTGACACACGGTGACCAAACTACATGWCCACTGAATATTCAATAAAAGTATTTCCTATATTACAGCAATATTTTTTATCGATGCTCATTATGAACTATACATGTGGCAAGGATGGTGGCCTCGTTCTGATGATGAGACTGAAGGTCAAGCACAAACAACTGGGTCAGCAGAGACTCGTTTCAATAATGATCGCCGATTATCCATGGAAACTATCAAGATGTACGCAAAAGGTACTGTAAACCTACATGTAACTGGTCGCATTAACTTAACTACGTGCACTTAGATAGATAATTTTTTTATGGAGAACCTCGATATCTTCCTTATAGAACTRCAAAGAGATCTTTCAAAAACTTACATTGTTTTCGCTGGACTCGAACCCAAGTCATTCAAAGCCTTGTTTCCTTTCTGGGAGGATCGAGAAGATGTMAAAGAAATAAACATGGAGGTATGAAATCAAGACGACGTTTAGCAACAAACGAAGTATTTACAGTTATATATACATCAGTTAATGTCACTTTTCTGTCAAAGTAAAATTAGAAAGTAAAACTGTTGCAGTGTTGCCGGGTTAAACACTTAGTATTGCATAAACTCTACATATTATTCATCCATTTATTAACAGGCAAGAAAAGACAAATCTGTACTGTTGAAACTAGAGGAGGAATTAGCGAGGTTATCTCGAGATACATATTCCTTAAGTGAATTACAGCAGAAACCGCCTCCAGAGGGTGTCGATCCTACAAGACTTGAAATGTACTTACATGTAGCAGAGTTTGAAGTAAGAAAACCCCATAGCTGTAAAAGATATCGAATATCAAYAAATAACTAACTGTTCTATACATACATTTTACCATAATCGYTTGCTGTTTTGCAGAAAGCTTTTGGGATGTCAAAAACGGAATACAAGAAAATACCGGCTTGGAAGCAGCTYAATCTGAAGAAAAAAGCTGGACTGTTTTAATAAATTTACACCAATTAAAATTGTTGATTTCGTGTCGATATTTATGCTGTAATCCATAAATCAAGTTATTTATATAAGGAATATTGAAATGATCGATACATTCAGTTTACTCGCTCAGTTTTCWTAAGAAATGACTAAATAGTTTAGAAAATAATTTTGACATTAAGATATCACTGTTGTTTCTCGTCCATACAATTAATGCTTTATTGAAGTCAAGCATAGTTCTATTTAATTTATGGTCGATAGCCATCACACAATCGAATGCACAAATGAATATGCAATGCAAAATTAGAACGATGATCATTGTTAACGTTATTTATTAAAACATGTTTGCTAATCACGATTGTGTGTCGTCTTGTTACCTCTTGTAAGATTTAAAAGCAATGGGTACAGTGGGTGGGTACATTATCGCTTAATCCGAAGATGTCTTCACAATCCACGAGCTACCTTACACTTGTCGAGTGTCCTGGGAACTAATAGTAGCACAAAGGATTATGGGTACAATTCAAGATGGCGGAAGAAGAGAACGTTCAGTCGAACACTGTCGAAGAGCCTTTGGACTTGATTCGTTTAAGTTTAGATGAAAGAATATACATAAAAATGAGAAACGATAGAGAATTAAGGGGAAGACTACACGTAAGTTTGAGGTTTTGTTGATATGCTTAACATGTGCTATGACAGCTAACACTGTCTTGCATTCTGCAGGCTTTTGATCAGCATCTCAATATGATAATAAGTGAAGTAGAAGAAACGATAACAACTGTTGAAATCGACGAAGAGACGTTTGAAGAGCTATTTAAAGTAAGCTGAAATTAGTTCATGTAGACCCAATCAAAGAACGAGCCTTTTAATGAAAGTCCATGGACGTAACTTAGCTGTAGTATTCTATACAGTTCTCTTGCCCCCTTGAAATGTAACCTTGCAATGTATATGAGCCTTGACTGTTGATACCTGTTACAGTAAGTATCTGTTGGTAACCTTGCCTGGACGTTAAGCAAAGCTGTGGATACCTTTGAGGTGGCAAATGGGGCTGTGAAAGAGACTTATATTCTTTGCAACAACACTCCAGTTTCGAATTCTCTTTTGTGCAAGCTTAGCTTCAATCAAGCATAAATTTTCATTCTTCTTCTTGGTACAAAGAGTATTCGCATTACAATAGGATCTCTGCTGAATAAAAGAATATATTACATGCTTTTGAGATTAAGGCTGCACAAATAAGATCTCAAAACTGGAGTATTGTGACTAGTTGCTTGTAACCAATGAATTTAACCATAATTATTATTTTTTCTGCAGACAACAAAAAGAAATATCCCAATGTTGTTTGTTAGAGGAGATGGAGTTATCCTAGTGTCACCACCATTGAGAGTTGGATTATAAACMTTGCTGCCTGTGATATTATCTATACTCAATGTTAACTAAGATATTGTAGTTGTAAAAGTTTGCTGTACATGTATTTTACTCAAAACAAGAAATCAAAAGAATGTCAAAGCCTTTATTGTATCTTTCACTGTATGTACATTGTACCTGTACAACATATAAATAAACTTTTGTCTTTTTCCATATGCCAGCTGGAAAATTTTATGTAATAAATAATTATTATAGTTACATCAGCTCAATGAATGTCACGTAATGCCATAATGGTCTTGAAGATAATCCAAGACAGCAGTTGTACTCTTTAATGAGTTGAAAACTCTTTTCTCTAAGAAAATTCAAACAAAATAATATTGCATGATTTATATAACACATGTCAATCTACATGTACTGTGATAATTTAGATATGGATTGCTATACAACACTACTACAAAAACTGCTTTTGAAGGCACAACAGCTCTCTTTCAAAGAAGGGCATTCTTAATTACTATGAAAACCAAAATCTGGTTGTCTAGTTTTACCTGCTTTTGAAGTAACTCTTTCCAACATGTAAATCAAGTGGTGATGAAATGTGGAAAATGGTGTCCCAAGAGCAGTTGCAATGTCCAGCTGAGAAGTAATAACAATTGGTTCAGTGGTAAAGATATATGATAAAAGGTGTTTATTATGCTTACCCAATCTGATACACATTGTAAAGGTGTTTGATCATAACCTGCAAACATGGCTGGGTTATTGAGAATTCCTTGAGCTGCCATGACACCTGATGAATATATCAAGAGATAAAGAAGTCTTTTCTATTGTCAAAAAAACATTATGGGTCATTTTGGTTGATGGGCATTGCTTATTAAAACCATAATATACTGTAAATAATTATCACTATTTTTCACAAAGCTAGTTTTACCATTAATTCCAGTCTTTTCATGAACTTTTWGRATATCATCTTCATTTTTTATATCACCATTAGCAATAACAGGAACAGAGACATTTTCTTTGATAAGCCTCACTACATCCCAGTTTGGTGGCTCAGCCCTTTGTTTAACTGTTCTTGCATGGACACTGATCCACGCAACTCCTGCATGCTCTGCCTGACGGCATAACTCAACTGTATTTCTGATCAAATGGAGAAAATGTGTGTTAATTTCACTGACTTGATCAATTATCACTTGGCWAACTTTTCAGCCCTCATATTGGTGTGTTTCAATTAACAGATCAAACACTACTAGTTCTTGATCTAAGAGCCAAATCACAGCAATATTGCAGCATGTGCCAGGATGATGTCTCTCAATAACAAGAATGCAATGAAGCAAAATGCTTCTTCCATTATTTACTCCTAATCAGTTCTACCCTGAAAGCTCATTGAAAGCTCTGKGAAGGYTCATTTCATCAAACTTCTATCTAACATTAGGCACCCATTTCAAAGTCCCTGATTCTACTGCAGACTCCCTACATACCTAGAATCTTTATCAATTCTTATCTTTATTGACACAGGAAATTCGCCAACTCTTGCCTTAGTTTGTGAAACCATTTCCCTTATTAACTCTGGCTTTTTGAGAAGACAAGCACCATACCCATCTTGCATGGCCCATCTAAAATGAATATGCTTTTCAAATATGTCTGATTGATGACATGAATATTTATAAAATAAACTGATACCTTTGAGGGCATCCACAATTTAAACCAACGCCATCTGCAAACCTGCAATAAAGGCATTTTTCTTCAATACTGCACAAGAATATTGAGAAATGTAAATGCAACCATTCACTTGGTCTAATAAAATGCAGGATTAAAATACACAAGTGYATGGTCGCATTTTCCTATTTATAAGGAATTGATTCCTACATCTACATATGTACTGTACAAGAAATCAAGATAAACYAAATAAAGACAAAAATTATTATTGACAATAGCAACTTACTGTGAAACAAGCTCTGAAGCATCAGCAAAATCTTTAGCACAACTTGCAGCAAATTGAACAATTAATGGACGATCACCTTTGAAAATAGAGAGYAAGACTTACAGAAAGATCCAGGGCAGGAGGTACTKGKGTAAGTAACCATGGGTACCTGAGTTTGTAGTAAATTCATTGTCTCTTGCTTTCTGTGATTTCACGAATGAATCAGATATTATCATAGGAGTATAGCACAGGTCACAGCCATATCTAAAYCCAATAGATGACAAAATTACTAATGAATGCACTGCAAGGAAAAAGACAAACGTAACATTTGTTGTYATACCTTCTCACCAATTCTCTGAAAGGTAGTCTGTAAAATTATGAACAAAACCCAAAATTTAATTTAATTCATACTAACGTGAGCTATAGAATACTACTTACTTGGAGTATCGGACCATCGGTGCGCATATTCGGACGATCTTTTTATTTTCAAATAACTGTAGTGGAGAGATCGATCCGTCCGCCATATTGGACTTTAAAAGAACAGGAAGCCCAAACCTATGCAGGAAGCCCASGTTGGTACTTCGAAAATACATTAAAAATCTGCAGTCCCTATTTCTAACAATTTAAGGCAGCACTTTATACATCCAGTTGTGTGAATATCGGTACTTTTATCTGAAAAAAGCCACAGCTAATATGTTTAGAGCAAATTACTRATGTGTTCCCTAGGGACATTATAGCTCGCGTACCSTCTTKACATGCGCAGAAGGTTCTCASTATTTTGTTTTGCTGCGCACTTCCTCAGCATCAGAACTTTAGAATATGTTTTACTGGTAAAKGCMGTGGTTTTCTTCCTTCAGCTGTSTTTGATCATACTTAAATCTAAGATTTACAAATGGAAATGCTTCCGGAAGGATTTTATCGAACTGAATCCAATAAAACAATTTGGGATGTGCCTGAGAAGTACCAACGATTGAGTCCCATTGGTACAGGTGCTTACGGTCAAGTTTGGTAAGTTGTTGATTTCTTCACTACTATGGTAATGCACACTGTTATTTTGAACAAAAGTAGTCAAGATTCACTTTTTAAATCGACAATGAAGTCTTGTTCAGTTCGAAACAACACTAGAATCGGGATGCAATCAAGACTTCAGATCCAAACCATAACTGCTTGGAGCTACTTCATTTTGTACGAGAATACGTTGAAGAATTCAACAATGCAAACTTCAGTGAATACATTTCACTCGATTACTTGTGATCACTGAAGGTCTGCAGTGAATTGATCCAAACTGTTTATTATGATAAACATTTTGTAATACTTGGTTGTCTGTTAGCTCCTCTGATGTTATCACACAAGAGGTTYGTGATGAAAAGAAATCTGTTGCCATTAAAAAACTGGCAAGACCGTTCCAGTCTCCTATGCATGCAAAGAGAACATACAGGGAGTTGAGACTGCTACGTCATATGAAACATGAAAACGTAAGTATTAAATGGGTGTTATTTTGATAGAGTATATGTTACATGTAATTTATTACATTCTAGGTGATAAGCCTGTTAGATGTGTTCACTGCATCATTGACATATAAAGACTTCCAAGATGTGTAAGTACAAAGACAATTATAGATATAACAAAACATTCTGACCTTTCCGGCAAAATGCATTACTCAAAATGACAAACACTTTGTAACAGGGTAATCATTCCCACTGAAAATAAATTCTGCAAATCCAAACTTGCACCATGTACATTTGATAGCAACAAACTTTTAGGATGGAATTCCATCAAAACGTCTCTCATACTGTTAGAGAGGCCTTACAAATTATACATTTATTTTTGTACAGTTTAGAATATGCCACACTGAGTATACATGTATATGAGAGGGTACATCACAAAAGGGGTCTTGTGTCTAGCGTGAAAATCCAGCCCTCCCAAAGAAGCCAATTAATTCACGGTGTGCATCAAAAGGGTCTTAATTCTTTAGATACCTTTTGTGCTGTCCCTTCTCATCATTGTCCTGACTGCAATCAAAGCCATCAATAAACAGAGCTTTTTTGATCAGTAATTTAGGCTTTTATTACCAAGCAAAAAGCAAACTTGGGACGGTGAGTTGGTCTCTATCGTCCAGGTGCATGACGGTGAATGGGCGTTGTTGTGCGTCTGCGCAGCATCGGTTGATTAGCGTCTTGCGTGCTGTGGATAGTCTAAGTTCAGTCCAAGATGAGAGGGTACATCACAAAAGGGGTCTTGTGTCTAGCGTGAAAATCCAGCCCTCCCAAAGAAGCCAATTAATTCACGGTGCGCRTCAAAAGGGTCTTAATTCTTTAGATACCTTTTGTGCTGTCCCTTCTCATATAGTCGATTGACAAAAGGTTGTCGTCGACCAGATTTCACAAAACGCGACTAGCCCGAACTGGTTTCTGGGTAAAAAAGCAATGAACTGGCAAATTTGAGATTTGAACACCTTTGTGATTGGAAAAATTGACACATAATGTATGAGAAARATTTTCACATGAATTTAATTATGCATGCATGTGATGTTGATTTTTGCATCTAACATTGGGTGTACAAAGTCCGGTCGACAACAACCTTTTGTCAATCGACTATATTATGTACAAAGATATACTCCATAGTCACACCGTATATTACAATCCTTGTGTATGTCCAGGTACATGGTGACAGARTTGATGGGAGCAGATCTTAATAGTATACTTAGAT